CAGCTCAATGTGACAACCCAGGTGTTGACAAGGAAACAGGATGCAGGACATTGCCTCAGCTCCAGGGTCTCCTGTTGCCATTCCCTGCCCCCTTGTCAGTGGCTGGCAAGCACTAATCTTGGTTCCATTTCTGTCTTTTTTTTCACTTCAACAATCTTACATAAGTGTAACCATTCAATGTGGAATCTTTATGGTTTGACTTTTTTTTTCCCCCTACTCAGTGTAATTCTCTGAATATTCATCTAGATTGTAGGACCACAACCTCTTTTGTGGCATTCTGTTAGAGTGTAGGGACTATTGTCTAAGTTTTTGTCTTGTGGCTATCCCTTTGCTGGTTCTTTACCTAGAGGGAAAATGTGGCATTTGGGGCTGCATTCATTGCTGTTTCAGATAGCTGCCTTCTTCAGCTTCAAGTCTGGGCTCTATAAGACAAAAAGAAAATTTAGGGACCTTGTCACCATGTTATCTGTTGGGTCCCCAGGCAGGTATCCAGTTGGTCTGCCACCTTCTCACCATCTTTCAGAATCTTCTTATGTTTATTTTTTTATGCAGTATCTGGGAAGGAATGGAGGAAAGCATCTCTATTCCATCTTTCCAGAGTAGAAGTCCCAGAATGTGGCCTTTTAAGCCTGCTTTCTTTCATTCAGCACAATGCATTTGGATTATAATTAGATGGGTTTTGACAAAGAAAACAGGTGTGAAAACTGTAGCACAATCATGATATAGGACAATTTCATCACCCCAGACAATTCCCTTTTAAGTATCTGGTTTTTGTTTTTTAAAAAATGCAAGTCTGATTATGTTCCCTATGAGGCCAACTTCCAAGATGAGTCTGAATGGTCCCTACAGCTTGATATTCTCATTCAGAGAACATCCTCCCCTGGGCGTGAACTGGACTTACTAATCAATGAAGCAGAATTGATGATTTTCACTTCTGAGACTAGGTCATAAAGGACTGTGGCTTCCCCCGTGGGCTCTCTCTCTCTCTGAACACTCATTCTGGGATAAGTCAACCATCACTTCATATGGATGACACTTGGAGAGCCCAGTGAAGAGAGCCAGGAGGCAAGGACCTGAAGACTTCAGGCAACAGCCAAGAGTATGATTCTTCTTGGAAGCAGATCCGTCAGAGCCATCAGGGACAACAGTGCCCATCCCCAGCTTGACTGCACCCTAATGAGATTCACTGAGTCGGACCCTCCCAGTCACTGAATCTGAAACCCACTAAGGCCTTTCAGAGACAGAAGCTTCACAAATGTGTGACACAATACATTTTTGCTGTTTGAAGCTATTAAGTGAGAGGGTAATTTAGGGGTTAAGTTACGGGGTAGATCTTTCTTCAATTCTAAGCACTTATCATAATTGCAATGTAATAAGGAGATGTATATTACCTTGTTTAACATGTCTCTTCCAGGAGGATGTAATATCCCTGAGGGCGAGGACTATTTTTGCCTTGTTCACAGCTTTGTCCCCAGTGACTTGCACAAGGCCAGGCCCCTTGTGTGTGTGAAGAATAGATGGAGAGAGGCATGAATTTCCTCTCAAGAAATGTTGTCTGTAGGTCCCAGGAAATTTTCTCATTTCTGAATGGGAAGAAGCAGAGTTCTTTACGAAAAGTGGTAAAATAGGTTTTTTTTTTTTTTTAATGTGATAACTATAGGCAGAAGTGGTGACTCTATGCCTCAGTTGTTGTCTTAGTAGTTCTTCATACAGAATACCCAGCAGATCCTGGGAAGCTTTGTCAAGTTATGGCTCTTGGGCTTCTTCTGGGAGAACTGAGTCACAATCTTGGGTGGAGAAGGGCATCCTCAGTATTTTTTACAGGTGAGGGTGAAAGGACCTCCAGGTAAGGCACTGAGGATCATTGCATGCTTGAAAGAAGCTGCCAGAATTGGAAGTGTGCTTGGTCTTGAGCCTGGCAGGATCATTTAAGAATATACTCCTGGAATTCAGAAGACCTTCAGGGCAGAGTCCCTGGGAATGACAGGATAGTCAAGATTTGGAGGTAAGGGTGAAGTTCTGGTAAGACGGGTGATAGGTCCTGAGCACCCATTGACCCCTGCCCTGGGCTCTGTGTTTTAAGGGACTCTGATCCCTGACTCTGAACATATACCTTGATTCTTGCCAAGCCCCCATTACCCAGGAGTCTTCAGGGCTGAAAGCACCTACTTAACTACAGTCTATGAACCTACCCTGAGACCAGACTCCAGTGACCTGGGATTTTAGAATACCCACCCCAAATGCCCTGAGCCTGTGTCCAGCTCTGTGACGGCTCCTCCCTTGGTCTTCTCTACGGAAGACTATACAGACAACCGGAATCCCAGACCCTAGATTTGTACCTGAGAGGTGATGACCAAGGGTGGCTGTCTGCAAGATGGTGTGCAGAAACTGGGCTCAGTCATCCATATAGGTGCAAACTCATAAGGCCATTTATGGTAAGAGATGGGAGGTGGGAGAAGAAGTGATCAAGAGCTAGGGGACTTGATTTTTGTTTTTGCTTCAATCCACAGTTTCTGAGGGCACAGCTGGCATATGCTTCTGATCTGGATTTTCTAGTCTGCTCTACCCTTGTTGTATTAACTGTCTTCTCCATATCACCCACATCACATTGCCTGCCCATGAGTCTATGTACTCTGTACTTTTCCAGTGGTGCCTCTTCTTTGTCTGCTTCCTGCTCCTCCTTCTAGGCGCAATGGGAATGTCCTCTCCTTAACAAATAGCTCCTGGCCTCCCCAGGTAGAGTCCTTCCCTCTCTACTCCATGTCCCTAAGGCTGTCACTAGTCTGCTGCCCCTGACTTGTCCCCCTCCTTGGCACTTTTCTCTTAGCACTATTGTAGTACTATTTTTTAAGTACTGTCTTTGGAACTATTTTAGTTATAAATGTTCTTTCCAGATCAATGGCTCTCAGATTCTGCTTCCAAAGGATACTGTTGGGGCACAGGAGAAAAATCTCTCACCCCTCTGGATTCTTCTCAGATTGGTTGAGTAATCAAACAGCTTCAGATAGGTTAGCAAAAGAGAAGAACCCATTTAATAATGTGCATGGCAGAGCTACAATGATCATGCAGATCCTGCCACTGTTAAGGAGAAAGGGGTATAAATCTGGAGTTCTGGAGCCTGAGGCACTAAAAGAAGGGAAACTTCACTTGACAAGGAGCAGATGATTTCACCTTTACTCTCAGAATAAAGATGAGATTCTTAGATAAGAAGACATGTTTACAGATAAATCTGCACCTGGATGGTACCTTCCAGAGTACATTCTTCTAGGTCATAAAAGGAAGGAGAGCAGCCATTGCTTCCTTGACTAGGGCAAGAGTAAAAGCTTATGGAGTCACAATATCTTCTCAGATGAGGGAAGAAAAAGACTCAGGCAAGGACAAAAGCTTTTTTCTCAGCCTCTAGGGCTTTCATTGTTCTAAACTCAAAATAATCCACATGACTGAGCAGGACATCTTGAGAAGACAAGTTCTACAAATCTTGGGGTGATCTGTTTAGGCACATTCAATGCTGATGAAGGAGTCCTAAAGTTCCTTGACTTACTACACGGAGTAATGATGGCTATGCCACATAACACAAGGAAATCCTCAGGCAATAGGCAGAATGGACAAAAGCCAAGTTTCTTTTCAAGAAGTTTTATACACCTGGGCCTCCCCAGTGGTGCAGCGGGTTGAGCACAGTGCTGTGAAGCTGTCTGCAGCCTCTGCAGCATGGGTTTGATCCCAGCCGGCCAGCAAGAATCCCACATGGCGCAGCAGACCTCTCCTGTCTCTCCCACTGCTCCCCTCAGCAGTGTGCTTTGGTCAATCTGCCTGTTCTGTTCCTGCTCTGTCTCTGGGGAATCCTCTCACCCCCCACACCTCTGATCTGTACCCCAGCTCTTGTATGCATCAATAAATCTTTAAAAAAAAAGTTTTATACACCTTTGGTAGCAGATCCTACCTACTAGCTGGCAGTAAACGAAGCCCCAAATACAGAGCAAATATGAATTTTAAAAACTTTAAGGAAATATTTAATAATGTATTTTTAATAAGGTGAGAATTACTGCATACTGGAACATGGTCACATTTTCATTTGGTAAAATTATTTATAGTTTATGTTGATAGAATTTACCATACCAATAGGTCATAGCGCTTCAGAATTGAATTAATATATAACATTTGTTGAGTTCTGATATGTTCCAGGCTCGTGCTGTTACAGGGCAGCCCTGATACAAAACGGGGTGCCTGACTGTGCGTCCTCACCCACGCGCTTAAAAGGACTTATCAATACTCTACTGCAGGCACACACGAAAGGTTAATAAAAGGTTTATTTACAAGGGAAGGGCAAATGGGGAAATGTACAACTCAGGGAGAAAAGTGGGTGACAAAGTTTTAAATGCGTCCTACCTGATCCGCCAATCTGGAAGCCCAAATGTCACTCTGAGAGCTGGCCGCAAGCCAGGAGCCGTGAAGCCAGGAGGCGAGCGAGAGAGCGAGCGCCCCAAGGCCCACATGTCTGGTTTTTATACCCAACCTGGCTGCTTAACTCCACCTTCAGGGCCCAGCCACCTTCCCTTTGGTGGTGTTGGGATTTGTCTTTCCCAGTGTCTTGATGGCTTTGGTCTGGAGTGGGGGTGGAGTCCACAAAGCCTGTATGGGATCCGCTCAGAACATCCTTTCCCCCTAACAGTGCTAAAGAAATCATACATATGAGCTATTTTGTCCTTGTAGCGACCCCATAAGATAGGAGCTATGGTCACCTCCCTATATGAAAGAGGAAACTAGGGTTTTGGGAAGGGAGAAAACTTACACTAAGTTTCCTCACTTCCAGGAGTCCTGCCACCTAAACTTGTAATTTTAACATGTAAACAAGAAAGACTCATTCTTTCTTGTTTAAGGAACCTTTGTCCCTTATACCACACTTCCACAGAACTACAAAAGTTTCTGAAAGCTGAACTTTGCTTATGAATCTGAAAAAAGACCTCTCCTTTTGTTATAGCTTTTTTTTTTTTTCTTTTAAGGAATAAAGTTGGTGAATCTGGAAAAGCTGAGACCACATCATGTTAAATGTGAAGCCTCTGTGGATCGCTCCAAGCTATGGACTCAGCACGCTTTTTGCTGTAATGCTCCTAGATAGAGCTCCTTTTCTTCCAGAATCCCACTATGGTCTGCTGTCTCCATTTCTTAACTTGCCTGTGGAGGGCACTTTGGGATTGCTGTAATCTAGTACAATCCATGCTCAATAAACATTGTTTTTCAGAATGAGTGTGTTAAGTAAAGGAAGCTATGACTCAGCATCACTTCTATCAAATTTGCCAAATTTCCTGGGTATAGATTTCTGGGTGACTGCTAGGAAATTCAATCTCTGTGTTCTCTGGGTGGTTAAAAGTTAGGAGATCAGACGGGTCATGTGATAATTTTCCCCTAGTCCATTGGCCTCATCAAGACCTTGGAAGGTGGGGAAGATAAATTTTGCCCACTAAGCTTGCTCTCCGCTGTCTGGTTTCTTCTGAGTCTTTCACTGCTGTGTGAAGGCAAACCTGCTTCTGTACCACCCTCCACTTACCTTTGTGATGCAACCTGGCATGTCATCCTCCCCAGTAGATATTGTTGGGGTATTATTTAATAAGATTAAAATCTAGGGCCCCACCCCCTTGCTCAGCAGGAAGTTTTGGGAGGCTTAAATAGATAAAAGGGAATTGATAAGGTTGCTATGGGAATCAGGCCTGTGGAACTGATCACCTTGACCCTGAAAGCAGGAAGCAGGGCTGGAACACATTCTGTGACAAAGGCCAATCCCCAAGACCAGACATTCCTGCACTAACTGGCCCGACTTGACTCCCCAGTCATGAAAAGCCTGCAAAAACTGGTTATAAAAGGGAGACCCAATTCCTTTTTCACCAGCAGACCTCTCCTGTTTCACCTCTTGCTTCTCTTAGCAGTGTATTTCAATAAATCCCCCTTTCTGTTCTCCATGCTGTCTCTGGTGAATTTTTTCACCCCCTGCACCTCTGGCCTCAACCCATCTTCTCCCCACAACAGATATGAGTAGAATTTCCTGAGTAGAAAATTTAGAATGGAGGCATCACAAGACAAGAAACTGGAAGTGAGGGTAGAAATGATTAATATAGATGTTAAACCAGTTATAGAAATGAAAAATCCTTGGGCTCAACTGCTTTAGTATCTGGTTGTGTTATAGGACAGGAAGAGGGGCAGCCCAAACCCCGCAAACCTGCCTATTCTACATGGGTTCTGCCATCCGCCGCATCAACACAAAACATAGGAGACTTTAATGGGAAGGAACTTTAATAAAACTAGGAAACAATACAGGAAAGGCAAAGAGTCTAGTTTCTAAATGAAGCACCCAAAGTTACCCGTCCCCTCGTGGGTAAAAGTCCATCCAAATGGGATTGGCCCAGAGCAAGGCCCCAAAGCCTGCCACAAGTCTAAAGCATCTTCCAGTGGGGACCCACAGCAAAGGGTCACAAACAACCGGACAAGCCCAGAAGGAAAAGAGCAAAATCAACATCAAGATAAAAGCTGCCATTGTCACCTCCCCACGGGTCTCACCCACATCTGTGTCACCCAGTCCACGACCAAAAGACAAGCGCAGTTTCTTCACGTGTCTCTAGGCTCCATGCGCCTCCTCCAGGTCTCCTGACTCCATCCTGTTTCCTTCCTCAGTCTCTTCTGCAGCTTCTCCTCTTCCTGCTCAGCTCCACCCTTCCTTGGGAGGGGCAGGGAAACTCCCCCTTTCCTGGGACCACCCTGTTACAATTGCTATATAAAGTATCCCAAGGCACAGACCAGAGGTGGAGAGATGGAAATGGAGAGCCATTGTGGAGAATCACAGGTTCTTACAAATCAACCTAGTCACACCCTAGAAGTAATTAACAATAGATAACAAGTGCACAATGGGTTGAACCCCTCCCCTCCCCAAAAGAACACTGTATAAGTACAATTTCTGCCCTGACAAAACACAGCTCTCTTGCCTGCCTGTGACCATGTAGGTGTTTCTGTTCACAAAACTTCCCTTTGCAAAGCAGTAGCGGCAGCTCTTTGTGCCCGCTTGTGTCTGTGCAAGGGTTCATTTTTTTTTCCTTTCCTTTTTTTAATATAATAAACCTGTAACAGTGTGCTAGCTATAGAAAGGAGGGGTTCCATGTTCCCTGCCCCACCCAAGGAAGGGTAGAGCTGAGCATTGAGAAGTTAGGAGAAAGGGAAAAGGAGCAGAAAGGAAGACCAGATGGAGGCACATGGAGCAGAAAGACTTGGAGAAACTGCGCTTGCTTGTTAGATTTGGACTTGTATCAGAGACATGGGGAACATGGAAGGAGACACTTGGAACAGATGTAGGTGAGAGACCAGTGGGGAGGCTGACGATGAGAGTCTTTATCTTGTTCTTTTTTTTTATACTAGAACCAGGGTACAGGCCAGATGTGCAGGAGGGTGAGAGGATTCACCAAAGGCAGAGTGGAGAACAGAACAGGCAGACTGACGAAATACACTGCTGAGGGGAGCAGCAGGCGAGACGGGAGAGGTCTGCTAGCCATGTTGCAACAGGGTGGTCCCCAGGAAAGGGGGAGGTTCCCTGCCCCACCCAAGGGAGGGTGGAGCTGAGCAGCAAGAGAAGAAACTGCAGGAAGAGACGGAGGAAGGAAGCAGGATGGAGCCAGGAGACCTGGAGGAGGCACATGGAGCCTAGAGACACGTAAAGAAACTGTGCTTGTCTTTTGGTCGTGGACTGGGTGACACAGATGTGGGTGAGACCCGTGGGGAGGTGACAATGGCAGCTTTTATCTTGATGTTGATTTTGCTCTTTTCCTTCCGGGCTTGTCTGGTTGTTTGTGACCCTTTTCTGTGGGTCCCCACTGGAGGATGCTTTAGACTTGTGGCAGGCCTTGGGGCCTTGCTCTGGGCCGATCCCATATGGATGGACTTTTACCCACGAGGGGATGGGTAACTTTGGGTGCTTCATTTAGAAACTAGACTCTTTGCCTTACCTGTGTTGTTTCCTAGTTTAATTAAAGTTCCTTCCCATTAAAGTCTCATATGTTTTGTGTTGATGCGGCGGATGGCAGAACCCATTTAGAATAGGCAGGTTTGCGGGGTTTTGGGCTGCCCCTCTCCCTGTCCTATAACAATGTGGGTAGCTCCACAGCCGGAGGGAATCGAACTGACACTGCAGAGGCTGTGGACAGCTTCACACCACCAGGGAGGCCCCTTTATCTTGTTCTTTTATTTTGTTCTTTTCCTTCCAGACTTGCCTGGTCCCTTCTGCTCTTTTCCTTCAGTTCCCCACCAGAAGGTGCCTTAGACTTGTGGCAGGATTTCGGACTTTAGTGGCCCTTCATTGGACCAACTGTGTTTGGCTGGGCATTTACCCCAAAGGGAATGGATGAATTTGGTGCTTCATTTGGAAACTATATTATTTCTCTTCTCTTTCTTGGATACTAATTCTATTAAAGTTCTTTTCTATTGAAGGTCTCACTGCACTAGTTTGTTTTATCTTTCTTTTTTTAAAGGTTTATTTATTTATGCATACAAAAACTGGGGTAACAGGCCGGAGGCGTGGGGGGTGAGAGGATTCACCAGAGACAGAGTGGGGAACAGAATAGGCAGACTGACTGAAATACACTGCTGAGGGGAGCAGCGGGCAAGTCAGGAGAGGTCTGCTGTGCCATGTGGGTTTCTCCCTTGCCAGCAGTGGATGGCAGAACCCATTTAAAGTACGCAGGCTGAGGATCTCCTAGGGTACTCCTCAGTTTGTCCTGTAACAAACTTGCCCTTTCTGATATAACTAAACATCTCTGCCTCTTGGGGAAAATTGCCATGTGCTGCTAAAAGGGGAGCTCTGGTGAATTTTTTCACAGAGATAACTGAAGGACCCCACTCACTGAATCCAACACCTCTCCAAAATTATCAGATAAGAGTGCTACCTCACCCACCACCTCCCACCTTCCCTGTTCACACCAGGCAGCCAGACTACATTTCTGCGGTTCTTGTTCCAGAGATTGGCAACCTGCCATCTGACCTGAAAAAAACGTTTTCTGTCTCCTGGCTGTCAGCAGCAGGGAGAACGCAGAGAGGTGGCTGCCCCAGCAGAGATGCTTTTGCTTTTCTCAGTCACACGGGGTGTGAGTACACTTACTGCCAAAGTTCTGAAGGCCTTTGTGTCCTCCTGTAGAGCTGGATCTTGAACGCACTTTGCATTCCAATGCTCCAATTTCCTGGAAAGCGCTCTGCTTTCTTTCTCAGGCTACATCTCATTTTTCTTTCAGCTCTAGACAGGATTATATGGGTGTGACCTTCTGGCCTTTTCCAAATCCAAAAACTGGATGGTAGGTCACTTTTTTAATATGAATTTTTAAAATAGTGTTTACTTTTAAAAACAATTACTACTGCTGTGATCATACTGTAAAATGTTCTGGAAATGGCCCCCCTCTGCTCTAGCAGACAGGGGAAAAACCATCTGCATAGACTTGAAACAGCTATGCAAAATCTGCTAACTGGGTGCAGATAGCCTCAGCCTCCAGTAACCACCAAGGAGCTGGATAAAGAATATTTAAACAATGGATACCCAGTCTTTGTATCTCCATAGAGCATTCTTTGGAAGAAATTAACCTTGCTATTGCCTTTCTCTATACATAGATGGCATCAATATACCTTGAAGTAAAAATAGCTTACAACCAGAAGTCCTCCTATAACAGGGTGGTCCCCAGGAAAGGGGGAGGTTCCAGGTTCCCTGCCCCACCCAAATGGAGGGTGGAGCTGAGCAGGGAGAGAAGAAGCTGCAGAGGAGACTGAGGAAGGAAGCAGGATGGAGACAGAAGGAGACCTGGAGGAGGCACGTGAAGCCAAGAGACATGTGAAGAAACTGAGCTTGCCTTTTGGTCGTGGACTGGGTGACACAGATGTGGGTGAGAGATCCGAGGGGAGGTGACAATGGCGGCTTTTATTTTGATTTTGATTTTGCTCTTTTCCTTCCGGGCTTGTCTGGTTGCTTCTGACCCTTTTCTGTGGGTCCCCAGTGGAAGACGCTTTAGACTTGTGGCAGGCTTTGGGGCCTTGCTCTGGGCCAATCCCATTTGAATGGACTTTTACCCACGAGGGGACGGGTAACTTTGGGTGCTTCATTTAGAAACTAGATTCTTTGCCTTTTCTATATTGTTTCCTAATTGTGTTAAAGTTCCTTCCCATTAAAGTCTCATGTTTTGTGTTAATGCGGTGGATGGCAGAACCCTATATAGAATAGGCAGGTTTGTGGGGTTTGG